TGGCCCGAATGAGAACATGCGGGTGCGACCTGCCAGCATGACCGAACTTTGATTTGTGGGTTGATTCCAACAAAATGGATTCACCCGGACACTGAAGCGCAAGACAAAGCACGTGCTATCGTAGGAGCAGCATTTCGGGCTTCATTCTGTTACACCATCTACATACTGTGGTGCGGAATTCTGGTACCAGCTGCATGCAAAGCCACAGATTCCATCTGCATGTATATCACGCTGGACATGTCTTACCACCCTGTGGAGCAGCTATCTCTGGGCATGTCTACCAGCGTTTCTATAGTGTGCTGTTTGCTGGAGGTCAAACATCACAGGCTTGTAGACAAGAGAGAGATTGGATGGATGACATTGGCTCGCGATGTCCGGGGCCCGCACAGCAGCAATGCCTGCAACACGTGGGATGGCGGCAAAGCGAAGCACACAAGAATCTGAGGATATTTGGTGCCAACGTTCAACCCCGCACTTGGCCTAAGGTTGTTGCAACACAAAGTCTCCATCATCAGGTTGCCAAGACCATCATGAGCAGAGCCGCCCATTCCAAAGCAAAAGGAACACGGCAACCAAGGGTGCACCACGTCTCGTTGCTACCTTACTGGTCCCAATGCTTCAATAACCCGAAAGTCGGCACCGTCGGCACCATAGTTGCGACCATCTATGAACAGATACCAATACAACTTGCCGCACGATAAGATAACTGGTCTGCTGTGCGGGGATATCTGTAAGTGGAGAGCGAGTATGTATTTACACATGCATGCATGTATGTATGTATGTTACTGTTACAGTATGCATGTACGCACACAGCCACATAAAGATACACATTGACATGCGTCTGCAATGCATCACGAATCAAGCTCATAGACTCATAGATCTAGCTGGATGTTGCTGAACTCTACGGCGCCTTCTCGTGTCTGCCTAGGTTTTGCATTCCTGCATCAGCTGCACCGGTGCCCACGACTCTTCGGGCCCTTCTTGCATGTTTACAAGACACGCCTTGCGAAGACGCTTGTAGCCCAAAAGACAGGTCTCATCCTTGCGTGTGGCTGTGTGGTGGCTCTACACAGGATCACAGGGCGAATTTTTCTCGCTGATCTGCGCCGGAAGACGAAGCCCCGGAAGACGCCCGAGGCATCGAGGAACCTCCGAGCCGGAGGAAGTTCAGTCCTTTGCTCTTCGCGGAGGCCTCTCCATGATTAGACTTCTCGCTCCTCCCTCTCAAGCACAAGCGATTTCAACACGCTAAAACTACAGTAGATTGAACGGCATTGCTTCGTTCTGCATTGCTGCAGTTCAGAATGGCACGTAGCTTCGATGCGGTATGGCTTCTTTCCATGGCAAAAGAGCACCGGCAGAGGAAAGCGCTTTACAACTCTGGCTCTTGGAGTTCTTGGTCACATCCCGACGCAAGCCCTCCGAGCCAGCCACAACCCCCCGAGATCGCCCAACCCCGAAAGACCAGAAACCCCATCCCTGAGACCAAGAAGCCGAACGAACGCCTACCCTTTGACTAACGACTTGTTCTAAAGCCATAGCCTGAAACTTTATACAAGCGAAGGCATAAAGAACTAAAGCACATTGAGAAACCCCTCGTACTACAAGCTCCAAGGAAAACACGTGCGCCTTTCCTCCAAGCACAGGGATCCTCTTAGGCCCAGCTCGCACCGGCTCGCTCCGCCTGAAGCCACGAGCCGCGCTTCTCGCTGTTTCGGTGTGGGGCTTGGGACTTATGACCGTCAGGGCTTAACGGCTTATAGTGTCCAGAAATGGATTGAAGAGGTTAGCTTCAAAAGAATATGACAAACTTCAATATATTCCAAAGTTAACTTATAAATCATGAAAATATTGACGAGTGGCTGCAAATAAAATTCCGTTGGCTCAACTGTCTTGAGCACCACATGTCATACCGCGAAGCATGCTCATTACGCCTATCGCGCCCCAGATCTGTGGATCTTCGGGAAGCTTTGCTTCCACGGTGCCTGTAGGGCTGTCCTAAACCCCGAGAGGTTCACTCTCTCGGGGATGGGGATGAAGATGACAGGAAAAGCTCGTCTTCATGAAGTTGAGTCTTCCTTTCTTACTTCTCCACGCATGCTAGATGCTGATGCTGATGATGAGACTGATGCAGCTGATGCAGGCGATGATGGTGAGGAGGAGGAGGAGGAGGAGGAGGAGGAGGAGGAGGAGGAGGAGGAGGAGGAGGGGGAGGAGTGATGACGACAATGATGATGATGATGATGATGATGATGATGATGATCTGGTGATGACGCACTCAGTTACGACGTCAGCTATGATGATAATGATGAGGATGATGCTAGGGTGGCGGTCTGCGGCGTCGGTGATGAGGTGGTGGCGAGGCTGCTGAGGGAAGGGGCGCGAAGAGAGAGATGAAAACGGGGTGGTGATGACCATGCTCGCTACACTTGCTATGCCGGGCTACCACTGCTACGGTTTCGCATCCTTGTGCGCCATGGTCATCACTGTGATGCTAAAAACACCAGTCACGAGCCTTGACACGAGCCCAGCCCGAAGCGAGTCCAGGCGCTGCGGGCACCTGCAGCCAGGCGCAGCCTTGCGAGCCCCTGAGAGGCGGCCTCCTGAGATCGAAGCTGCAAACACGCAGAGCGCCTCAAAACCGTTCAAGCCTTGCAGCCGCTGCAGCAGCGTTACTAGTATCAGTGTCAACAGCACTTTTGACTGCAAAAGCCTAGTCTTCATGGATTTGCCAAACCCGCGAAATCGATGCCCCAGGAGCCCAGCAGCAGACAGGGCAACAGCTCCGAGGCGGCAGCGAGGCCTGGAAAAGCAAAGGGCATGGGCCAGGGGGGTTGGGACCTTCCAACTGCTCAGGGCTCGGGTTTGCTTCTTACGATTTGGCGCTGAAGCCTCCGGATCTGCAAGCTTTCGCTTGCGCTTGGGATCTTTTCGACAAAGGCCATCTCCGAAAGTCTGCCTGGCCTCAAACCGTGAAGCATCCTCGATGCGAGATCAAAACGCCTAAGTGTGACGGAACAATGAGCCGGAAAAAAACAGCCCAGGAGGCCAAGGCACCTGGGCTTTGGCCCTTGGGGCTTCCAGCACCAAGCGTCGAACAGAGGCCTCAGCGCAGGCCAGAGCTCTCTGCGTGCTGGGCTTCGAGGGTGGGTCCAGGATGGTCAGTCGGGGATTTGGAGGCTTCTGAAGGGTGTTGAAGGGTTTTGCGGTGAGGGCTGAGCAGCGGCACCGATTCTGGTTGGTGCCTTCGCTTCAAAGGAACGCAGCATTGAAGATATAGCACACACACACACACCCCAACTGTCAGCAAATCAGCAAAGACGCTGACTACGCTAGTACCACTGACGCCAGAAAATATGCTGACAAAGCTGAGCAGCAGTCATTGCAGCAATTCAACACTCAGCAGAAACCGAACAAAAATGGTTTTGCGGACAAGACGCATCGGTCCTTCGATCAACTGAACCATTCCAACCCCATGCAATCCCCTACGGAACCCCGTCATAAGACCTTCACAGAAGCCTCTGCAAAGCTGTTGATAAGAATTTTTTCCCGGCGCCTCCAAGGCCGCGGGGACCTCCAAGACCAGAGCCCCGCCTTCCTCCCGGGCGAAGGGATCCCCGTAACTTCAAGGCTTCGGAGGTCCCTGTGGTTTTCAGGGCCAGAGTCTGTAGACCCCCACAGAGTTTTTGGGGTTTGTTCTTACGACTTCGGGCGGCGGCCATCTTCTGAAGCAAACCTTGTGGCACATGCTTGTGGCACACAACGGTCAGGGAAGCTTGCTTATTGCGGCGGGAGAACGGGACCAGGCAAATTAGCAAACTCTTGACGCAACTGAGACTTCCAAGCCACGAAGCAGTTTGCAACCTGCCCAGCTGTCGAAGAACAGGCCAAGACACCACACCTCGACGCCTGATGCCGGAAAGCCAAACCTGCGTCAAACCGAAGATCTCCGAAGAAATGGGTCCTTCAGAAGAGGGAAACCCGCTTCCTGGGCAGAGTCCTCAGCTCAGAAACGGTTTGGGGTATCGTTGGCTTTGGGGTTCAGAGTTTCAGTTTTTTGGGTTATGGCTTCGGTGTTTAGGCGTGGGTAAAGGGTTTGGGGTTAAGGTTGCAGGTTTAGCCGCTTAGGCATTTTGGTTTCCGAGTCGAAGTTGAGAACTTCTGGTGCCTCGGGTGCTCCTTACGTCATGGCCCTGGATCCCAAGCCGGTCGCATCCCCGACGTGTCGGAAAATAGTGATGTGGCATGGAGTTCAATCACGACTCGAAAGAAGCCGGAGCAGTGGCACGAAAAGCCACATCAAACACAGCATGACGGGTCAAGATGCCAAAGCCGTCAGAAGGACGGCATACGCCGCGATGGCGCCGTCGACATCGCCCTGGTGTCAGCAAGTCCCATGTGAATTTACTGCTTGCTTTACAGCGTACAGACCTAAATCCCCAAACCGTAGAACAACCATGAATCCCTGAACGCCTGCAGGCAATCCTGACACGCAACCCTGGACCCATCTGAATCTCAAGGCCTTCAGTCTTCCCCATGGCCTTTTCTGAGCACCCCGGCCTTGTGTCCCTGGAGGGCGGTCTTTACCTTCGCCGTCCGCTGGAAAACAAAGGCCTGCCAGCTTTGATGTAGGGGACTTCAGGTCCATAAAAGAATAGTCTGGATAATGGCTACGACGCTATAGTAGGGTCGAGGGTTGAGGGGTTGGGATTCTTCGTATCTCCGCTTATCGATTGTTCGGCTTCATATTTCAGCATCTGGACCCTGAGGTCTTCAAAAGCACCTCTGTTGCATGTCGCATTACTCCGAAACACACCACCTCTCATGATGATCCGCACCCCCTGAAGCTGTCAAGCTATCCTTACTTAAGCCTTACTTGTTGCTTCTCGGTGGAGCAAAAAAATGTTTTTCTTGGAAACCACCCGAACAGAACGAGTCCTAGCTCCTAACCCCCCTCTGACAGACCCTCACTGGACCCCAAGCCCGAGATCCTGCAGGGCCTACTTAAATCCGGCACTGTTCAACCGAAATTCACCTCTGTGGGGTGTAGGCGCCTGCCAGGGCTCCTTGGCGTCTGCCCTGGGCCCCAGCAGCTCTTCGGCCTCACGGCGGTCTCCACGGGCTAAAGAAAGTCGTAGCTCTCAAGAACTGCAGACATCAAAGTAGCTGTGATGTAGAAGCCTCTATACTTAGGTTCGGGCTGTGTAGCAAGAAACCCCGAGTAGCTATAGCGTTTTTGTTCAGCTCTGCCGGTTCAGGCTTTGGCTGTGACGTCAGCTTCAGCAGCTGAAGACGTACCGAGAGCTCCCGGATCTGCATCTTCGATTTGTAGGGTCAAGTAGCTTTCCCTCAACCAGGAACCCCCTTTGACCCCAAGAGAACACCCGTGGCGCCTGCGCCCGGGTGAGATATGGAGGGTTGGCGACCACCACATCGAAGCCATGGTTGGAGTCCATCAAGGTCCTGTTCCCACAAGGGAATCTGCAATGTCAGAAGGTGATCCACAAACTCTGGTTGTAACATGTTGTAAATCATCCCAAGAACGATAGGACGCGTACCATGTGCCTTAATAAGAACCACATGGTTTCGGAACCCATCAACTTCCAGCTTAACTTCAAAGTCTGAGGGAGGTTCTGACTGCTGGAGGCCACTTGGCTTCTGAACCGTTTAAAGGCTCATCAGAGGCGAAAGCGAAGGAGACAGGTTGTTCTTAGTAAGCCTTGTTCGGGTTGTGTCCTCTCCTGCTCCCTCCTCCGGACACCAGGTGTTCTGGGTGCTCAATAATCCCCGGAAGCTGAGCAGAGCCTCAATACAGGGGTCATCCGAACTGAGTATGCTTTCAAGGGGTGCAGGCGCCCTTTCGGAAGTTCGTGGTCGAGGAGAAGGACCCGCGTTCCGATGACCGACCAAACCTGAAGCCCAAGCCCTGAAACTCAGAATCAGAACACACACGACCTTACACAGAAAGTCAGTTCAAGATCGAGGAAAAGATGGTTGACCAGACCATCAGCTTCCTGGCCAAGCTGGGAGACCCGAGGTCGGAAAAGCACGCCTCCACCTGGCGTGCTGCAGGATTTAAGGCCGTTGAGGCGTTGGGCTTCGGGTTTAGTGAAGTACTCTCTGGGACCTCAACACTTTCCGGGCCTTGGTAGAACACGGTACCAGAAAGGGCTTGACCCCAGCACGCAACTAATCTAACTCTGCCTCAAAAGCATGTCGGGGTTTCGGCTTGGCTTGTGGGTTGAGGCAAGAACAGAGCCCATTGCGGCTAAGCCTGCAGCTCTACACAAACAGGTAACCCATGCCTTGACATGCCAAGCCCGAGATCCACCCGACACAGAAAAGTCTGAGGCCGACCACCCCTCGGAAATGCCGCGGCGTCCGCAGCAAGTTCTCAGCGTTGCTCCGGGCAACAGCCAAAGCCTGGTGGATTGAGGCATGGGATTTGCTAAATTTAGAGTTACGGCTAAAGATTAAGGACGTCATGGCTGGGGACCATTCCTTCCGAAATCCGGAGAAAGCTAAACCCTAAACCCTTAAGCCGCGAAGCCCTAAACCCGCAAACCGCCCAAAGCGACCCCTTCGGCCTCGGCGCTGCTGTCCAAGCCAATGGCTTCGGCTTCGCAGCCCTCCTGAGAGTCGGGGGGATGAGGGCGGGGGGCCTGGGGCGATGGAGGATTTGGGATTTAGCCTGGCGGGTTTAGGGTTTAGGCATCCTGGTCCTTGGCCCCACTATCATCATGGCATGTCCGAAGTACGTAATGCGATCGGATTCTGCTCTATCATGAACATAAGAGCAAATCCTATGACTATGATGCCGGAATCATTTCGCTTTGAGGCTTGGAGCCTTGCCCCACGACTTCCTGCGACAACCGTCCACCCTGAACGATGGCACGGGATTCGGACATGACATACAAGAGGCCATATCTACATGTGTGTACAGATAGGTGGATAGATAGTCAGACAGATTGATAGAACTATCGGTCGGCACCTGCATATAGAGGCATGGATGTATTCGCACGTCTTTTGCGCAGCTCAGCTGTTCAGTCCGTAACCCCAAACCCGGATGCCCTGCCGAGCCTCGAGAGCAAGAAGAGCAGAGACGGCGATGCATCCGCTTCCCGTCCTTTACTCGGAGACGCCACGGTCTAGGGAGGTGTCCAGGTAGGGTTTCGTCTCCGTCTTTACAGAGGACTGAAACAATTCATTTAGGCTTTTGATGGCTTGTCTTAGAGGTGCTTTACAGTTGGGTGTTCGGGGCTCATTGCAGTGTTGTTTTGCTGCTGTTGAGAAATTCTGGAATGGCTCCTGAAGGATTAGCATGGGGTCTCCTAGAACCACCCTGGGCCTCCAGCATCGACTCCAATGCCGGACTCCAAACTGCAAGGACTCCAAGGACCCCAACCCCCGAGAATCTGAGCTGCAGCTGAATCTCCCGAGGTCCAGCAAACGGCGTGGACCCGATCCTTTGAGAGCCTTAAGCTCCTTCCACACCGGGCGAAAGAAGCAGAGATTGGGATTGGGATGAGCTTTGAAAGATGTACATCGACTGTCCCGAGTCCTCCGCGGCCCTCTGTGCCACAGCCTCTGTTCCCCGGCGGGGGACCATCACCGACTCGGACACCCGAAACCTGCTGACAGCTTCAGGCTTGGGGCTTGGGGATATGCTGAAAAGAGCTGGAGCTCTTCCGACCATCTTCGCAAGGCACTCCCCTGTATTCCTGTACCCTGCATACACCCTGAAACCTGAAACTTTGTAATGCCTTCAACCAAAATCTAAGAGAGCGAAGCTGGGTTCTTGTGAAGATTCCACAACATGGGTAACCACACAGTTTAGAATACGGCTTCCTCATCATGATCACTTCAAAAAAGTGAATGAAATCCTCGAACACCATACAAACACCTTACGTTACCTTGGGCTCTGGTGGTATTACATTCTGGAAGAGCCAAGGGCTGAAGGCGGCAAAGCAGCTGGTGGCTGCAGAAGAGTTCCGAACCCTGGGCGTAGGCAATCCTGAGTTGCGGTGGGATCTTCAGGTGTTGTGATTTTTCGGGCTTTAGGGTTCGGGGTTCGAGGGTGTCAGGGGATTTGAGGGTGAACATGTTCTTGTGCAAGGTGTCGTGGTCCATGTATCTCGCAGGATGTGAACTGAGTGAAGGAACTCTCGTACAGCCCAGAAGCTCAAGAGTCAAAGCCTAAAGCTTTAAATTCTGAACCACCCTAAACCCTCAGACCTGAAAGACCCTAAACCTTTCAGCCTCTGACAACCCCCCTGCTTGCGTTATCTTGCCAGCGTCTGGAGGGCAGATTCAGCAGCCTCACTGCGTGCCAACCGCTCCTCCCACCAAGCGCTTTGTCAAGGCTGCAAGATTCAGCTATTTCAGACTCCTGAATGACGAACCGCCCTCCCTTATTGAGGGTTGAAAGAGGAACTGCATTCCCTTGCCCTCTGCGGCAGGGTTGCTTCAGGACTTAGTCTCGGCTTTTGGGCTCGAGGGCTCATGCTGCGCTACTGGCCTCCTGGCGGTCAGAGCGAAACAAAGAAGTGGAAACGACCCTTTGCACACAGAGGCAGTAAACCTCTGCCCCGCCTCCGAAATTCGCAGATATTGAAAGCGACGGAGAAGCTTCAACGGTCCCACGATCCTCCCCTAACAAAAGGGCCTTGGCATCGGTCGGAAGCCGCCGCGCCGCAGCTTCCTGGTGCCGCTGCCAGGATTCGCGGGCGTCCTTCCAAGGCCAACGACTGCAAGTGCGGGGCGCACGACGGCTGTTGGGTTCCGCGTGGTTTAGGCCAGTTGCAGGGAGAGGTCGCTCCCCAAAACAAAGCCCGCGAGCCCCCAAAACAGAACATCCCCAAAAGGCGTTGCGAAGCCTCGAAAGCCTTCAGCAGCTGGGCCGGCGGCTCAACCTGCGGAAACATGGAGGCAGCCAGAACAAAGGTCAACGGTCCCAGGGTTTCGGTACAAACACCTGGGGTGTGGGTGGTACATTCATTGGATCCTCGAAACAGAGATGCCATTCATAGTTGGTCAGGAGCCTCATGTGATTATGAGAGGCGAAATCGAATGCTTCCAATACCGAAACCACAGACTCCGACTCCAAAACCCGCTAACGATACATCCTGAAGCAGCAAACCCTTTACACTGTAAAATCCACCGGACCTTGAAATTGGTGCGGTGAGGCAAGTCCAGAGTCCAGCCAATGATCTCGGCGACATTTGCTTTGGGATCGGGGCGTTCTGGTTTGTGGCCGGGAAGTACGAGGGACAGATGGACGTGAGGCCCGTCGCGGGATTTCGGGCTCCAATAAAATCAAGGCCCCCTTGCATCCAGATCTGGTGGAGATTCTTCTGAGCCGTAATGTTATCCTGATTGAAAACTTGCATCCTGCGGCTCGGACTAGAGCGATACACGACCTGAAGTGCTAAACTGCTAAACCCTAAACCACATCAAGGTTCACTCTTCAAAGGACGACCACGCGCGCCCTTGCTGCCGAGAATGTGGTAACCTCAGTCCCGGCTCCCTGCGCTTAGAACAGACTGCAGGGAACGTAATGCAAGCGCGACCCTCACCCTGCTCTGCAGACTACAGCCCTCAAAATCCAAAACTAACAAGCACTGAAAATCCCAAGCCCCACCCAAACTCTAGATCAAAAACCCCAAACCCCGATCTGAACCTGCTCGAACCCACAACCGCAAAACCTGAAGCCCCATACCCCAAACTCTGAACCCCAAATAACCTGTCAAGGGCAAAGTGCTCAAATACCAAGGCCCAAAACAAATCTCTCCAAAAAGAAGAAAATGCCCCAAAAACAAAGCTATGAATACATGTAGATGTAACATGAATACGTAACTACACATATATGTGTACGTCAGTACATGTATGAACAAATGAAGAATCCATGTCCGGGCTGCCCAAAGCCGCCAGTGAGGATGCAAAGAGCTTAGCACCGCAAAGGGGTGCCCTGCAGACGCACTCCAAAACCTTCCCAGGCATGGGGAACTTCGAGGATGTGACAGCGCAGGGATTCGGGGTGACGGGTCGCTTCCGGGCCTGCAGCTGGCCCCTTCCGCGGATCCAGCGCGTGCTGCTCCGGGGCCTCTCCGGGGAGTTCGACTGAGGGGATGATGGCTTGGGAGTTTGGGGCTGCAGGGTGCAGGGTTTAGAATTCAGTTCTTGATTTCTGCGAGGTGAGATCCTGTCAGCGGAAAGATAGATAGACTGACTATTGAATGATAACGGCGGGGTTGGGTTTGGGCTGGATGACTGATTTTTGGACTTTGGGTTTGCATAGCAATGCTCTTGCCCCATGAGAGGCTGCAGACAAATCATTCGAGGTTGCTTCGATTCAGGGAGCGAGCGGGGGAGCGAGTGAGTGAGTCAGAGACAGATGGACACACGTATCCCCTACCGCACATTTTATATTATATGAGCGTGTCTCTATGTTTGTGTCCAAAACCTGAACCATGGGCTTTCAACATGGAACCCAAAGAGCCACGACCTACCCCTTGTCAGGATACGCAACTAGACAAACTCACGACTACAGTCCCAGTCATCGTCATTCAACCAGCCATCGTATTAACCCTCGTCAGATAGTCGTCGCCGGCGTTGAAACCGCCTCAACAGCTCGAAGCGCTGATCGGCGGGTCGCCAGGCATCCCTCGGGGCACTCACATCCTCGGCGCCGTCAGGGATTGGGGGTGTAAGGGTTCTAAGGGCATCCTCTAAGTCTTGAAGCTGTTGCCTTTTGAAGCTTCGGGTAGGTTTACGGTCAAGACCCTGCGCCTTGCAAGGTCGGGAACCTTGCTTTGTCTTATTGACTGTATTGCTGTTCAGGATTTCCGGTTTCAAGCGCTGCTAGCACGTCGAACTGGCCACGGCATGCTTCAGGGTCTTGGCTTCGCGGTTCGATGACTGATATCAAGACTTGTCTTAAGCGAACAAAAGAATCAAGCTCCACAACAAGTACGTGCTGACTGAAGCCCGCGAGCATTGCTGGAATTGACATTGAGCCAAAGCACGCAATCCACCACAACCAGAACGTGGCACCAGGCAGCCTGGGATGAGGGCAGTCACCAAGAACTGCGCCAGATGAGCCGAGGCTTTAACCTCTTTCCCATCACCAACAAAACTCCGACGAGCTCGGATGCTTTTGTTCGGACCTCCTTTGCCTTCTGCTTCAGATTGCAACTGTCGCAATTTCGATGCACCCGCTCGCAGCTCTGAGCTTCGATGAAAAAGATTGCCAGAAGCCCCAAACCACGGGTAACCGAGAGCATGAAGACCGACGAAGTGGCTTGGGATTCCTTTGGCTCCTCCTGGTCAACTTCCAGGGTCATGGTCTTTCTTTCAGGATCCAATGACTCAGGTAGAGGGCTTTGGATGCACGTCTCTGCTGCTCTCATGGCTGCAGCAGGATGCACGCTGGGCTTGAAGGGGAAGCTTGAAGAACTTCGTAAGTCCAAGTTGGTGCTTCTTCCGCAACGGCCCCAGTCCAGACCCCATCAAACCCGCGTAGATCCATCTACCAACCCAATGTGCAGAGAAATGCGCACGGCTTGGCTCCTGGTCTTCGCCCAGGGCTCGGCACAGCAGGCGCCAGCCGTGCGTCGATTTAGCAACAAGAACGAGTCCTCAGTGTGTGTGTGTGTGTGTCTGGCTGAGCTTTTTGCAAAGCTGGATGCCTTCGCAAGCTCCTCCCGAAGCCCAATGACACCCGACATCCCAAAGCACGTTGCTCCTGCCAAGGTTCCAGATAGGGACTGCTCCATGCGCGATGCTGCTTTGGGATATCCCTCATCACCTTAGGGCAGAGCTCCGGGAATAGGGCCTAGTTTCGGGCTTTCCGTTCACGAAGCCGAAACGACAAGACGACAAGGGCCCAAAGAAAGATGATAGATGCGAGGAGCCTCCGCTGAAGCAGCCAGAAAAGAGTTTTCTGCACCCTCTACCGTCTACCCTTTGAGATTCTTTAAGGTCCTAAACCCCGACTAAAGAGCAAAGCCACGGAAGCCGGGGGACTGAGAACTCCCATCTTTGGCAGCATCGCAGCGCAGTCCTCTGCTGGGACCAAAGAAGACCGAGCCAAGTCCAGGCCGCAGGGTAGGGGTTGACGGGAGCAGGTTTTCGGTGCTTTTGCCGGACGGAAGCACACGAAAAAATCTGGAGTGGGCAGGGGAGCATGCCTTGACTCGGGAATGGAGCTTCATGATATATTGGGCCTTGACGAAATGCGGGCAAAACCCCACCAACGCCCGTGCCGAATGTCACAGCTCACACAGCCTCCAACTACAAACCTTCAAGCTCCTACACTCTAAATCCCAACAGGTCGACTTGAACCACCGGTCGAGGCCTCCAGAAACTCGGACCTTGAGGCCTGTAGGGCTCTAGGGCTTTAGGGTTCGAGGCTTCAGGAAACCGCGGGATGAAACATGATCTTACAAATTGCAACAAGACAGGCTCTTAGAGTGATCGTTTGGTTCTTGTAGCAGCCTCGACACGGACACGCTGATGCCGACTGGCTTCCAGACCACGGCAAAGTCGCGCTCCTGGAGGAGACTGTAACCAGCTGCCGCTTTTGATGGTTCAGCATTCCTGGAATCGGGGTGATTGAAAGCCCTGAATCACTCGGAGTTTGCACCTACAGCACAAAAGCGAAATAGATAGACACAACATGCATGCCCGTGCATGTCCTCGTAATCTAGATGCCCACACCACTCGAAACCCCAACACGAATTCCGAGCCGACTGTGCTGGTACCCAGCGATGTCGAAATTCTTAGAGGTATCTCTTTGTTGTCCCTGTCTTTGGCTCCTCATCACCCACCGTCTCTACCATTGAAACTCCAGCTGCTAGTTTGTCGTATATTCGGGATTAGGATTCCTACACGCTTAGTAAACTCCTGAATAAACCCTCAAAGCCGCAAAGTCTCAAGCCGGCCTCCTGCACGATGCGCGTGCCAAGAGTGGCCGCATCTTCGGCCTTCCGCACACCAGGACTGTGACTGTGGTGCTGACTCCTGCTTACTAAATTCCGTTCATTTAATGTGCAACTTAATTAGGGCCCCAGCGAGCAGAGTCTCGGATCCAGCATTAACTGGACCGCCCGCACCCTTCTGGTTGAATGCAGAAAGGGAAACCCTTTGAGGTCATGTCTCTCTCTCCCTCTCTCTGTCCTTCTGTCTCTCCCACTTTGTCCAAGATTCCACTGCAGCTGGTGGCCCCGGCGCGAGCAGCAGCACGGCTGCGGGATCTGTGATCCATCCTAAGGAGGTTCATGTTTACACTCTCAACCTATCTCTCCATCTCCTTGCCTCCCAGCTTCTGGCCGGATCTCCGACGGGCACACCGCCGATTTGAACCCGGCCCTCGCGGATAGCACAACGGGCCTTTCAAGTGCACTTGCTTCGGACTTCTGGCAAGTATTACTCAATTATTACTCTGTTCCGCCCGGAAAAACTCTAAACCCAACCACCGTGGACTACAACTCTGTACAAGCTCTAAAGCCCCCAGATCCAAAACATTGGCGTTGGTCCTAAAGAGGTTCGGAGTTGAGTCCAAGAATCTTGAGAAATCGAATGGGCCTGAGCTCTTAGCCGAAAGGCCAGAACCCTGAGGCCTTAAACCCTGAAGCCTGCTGGCAGTGTTTGCTAATTAATGTCGGCTAGCTGTCAGGTTTTGCCGCGTGCTGTCCTGAGGTAAGCGTGGCGGCCTCTGGTCCAGATGAAGCCTTCTCAGTCCTGAAACCCTCAGCGACCCGACCCGCCTCGTTGAGCGACAGACCCTCTCTCCTTGGCGGCAGCCAGCAAATGCCATCCCGAACCAACCAACACGGAGCTACTGTTGAGTGTTCATTCTTGCATGTTTCGAAAATTGGCATTCAAGGCCTCGCAAAGGGAAAAAAGGGACGCCAACTCCACCAACAGTCCCAAGCCGCCTTCCTTTCAGTCAGAACCCGCGAAGGCCGGTATTTGCCGCAATGCTTAAATCCCGAACCTTCTTCGCAAAGCCGCAAAGCTTCTGTTCCGCACAGATTAACCAGCCCTGCACAACCTGCAAGCCAATTCAAACACGCAACACCCCAAACATGGGCCCTGGATATGAATAAAACACGGCCCTAAACACTTGATCCAAAGACATGCCCCAAAGCCGCACCAAACAACCTGCAAAAAAACACACACACACACACACACACACACACACACACACACACACACAAGTAAGCCTGGGCCTGAACCCAAAAAGCTCTCCAAAATTTCACCAGGAATCAGATGCAGGTGCTCCAGGAGCCGCAAGCTCCTGCCTTTCGCCCTCGTCGGCTCCGAGCCTGCTCGGCTTGGACGTCTCAAGTTACTTTCCGCAAAATGTTCCATCCTTCAGGCGTTATCCCGACATCGTGAAGCAATAACTGACAATCATCATAAGCTTTCACAAGCAGAAAACCAAAGAGGATGACAACTTGTATACGGCCATTGCAAAGCCACGGAGACAAACATAGAAGACCTGGCAAACAAGGGCTGGCGAGACAGAGTGAGCACCTGAGAACTCTTGCAGGGCCTCGTGGCAGAGGATCTTCCTCTCGCTGCACTGACTGCCGGCGGAGCTGTACGGCTCGCACTTGCCTGGCCTGAGACAAATTGAGCAACGTATGACGACGATGGGTCATGACAATGACAATAGTGATGACGATAATGGTGATGACGGTACTGATGAGCCAGCATGAACCGAACGAACAAAAATCGGACAACTGACTGAGAAAAACAAGCCGTGCGAAAGAAACGACAACATTCATCAGACAGAAATGCACTGCGCGCAACAGCCTAGGGCTGGTGACTAGGGAACCTACGAACCAGCGTTTGCACAGGAAGCAGAGCAGACCGTGAGTGAAAAGCCACAGGACGAGACACAAACTGCACCGAGAATAGGATACTGGTAGGAATAGAAGAAATGCAAACTTCCACACAGAAAATCAAGCTTTGTGAGAGAAAGCAGGAAAAATACACCATGAACAAAACAAAATACTTGAGATTTTGAGAGCAACATGCAGCACGGGTGAAAGAAGAGAATAAAGAATTTCAACACGACAGCCAACCCTGACTTCAACAACTTCGCACAGACAAACTTGTCGAAAGATGCAATGGCACACATCGAAAGAGCGCGTGACTATCAACGATGCGAGAACCCAAGCTCGAATGCAAGGGGCATCCACGGAGACAACGTCCCCGGGCTGCAAGGGACGATGGAGGAAACGCTCCGTTTTGCCGTTCACCTTGGAGGAGAGTTCAGGTTTTAGGCTTTGGAGATTGGGGGCAATCCGTCTTTCTGTCTAAAGGATTACAACACCGTGCACTGGCCCCAAGAACGTGCTAATGTTTTCACGACGCATCGTAAGGAAGAAAGGGAGCTGGATAAACTATGTAATTCTCGGCCAAAACCCCGACAGGGCCTAGAGCAGGGAGGCTCTTATCACACCAAATCGCAGCCTCAGCTTCCATGCCATGCTCAAAGCCTGAAACTTACAGAGCGTCCCAATCTAGACTCTAGAAGCTTCTGAGCTCATGTAGTCCAGATGCCGACACCAGACCATCACCGATGCGGAACCGGGCAACCTTGCAACAGCACCGAGACGAGGAAAGGAGGCGCCCGACTACCAGGGACCAGGGACTGCAGGCTTCATCTTTCGTGGCAAGGACCCGAGATCAGTACTGTACATGGAGTTGTCTTGTCACTCCGACCGCAACCCGATTCGATCCGGATTGAATTTGCGAGGATCGCTGCCACTTTTTCGAGGCCAAGGGCCGCGATTGAAATTGAAACAGTTCTGCCCCCGTGCAGACACACGGGACGGTTGAGTCACTAAGCAGCACTACTCCAAGGCCTTCTTGAGAAGTTCGTAGATCTCAGTGGACTCGGATAAGGCCAGGTCATCTACCCTGTAACCGTCTGTCGTCTTCAGCGTGGGATCTGCCCTCGCCTCCAGCAACAGTCGGAGTCCCTCTGCAGACTGGCGCATTCCAAACTTCATCAGGGCGGTCTCACCGCGCCCGCTTTCGCGACGATTCACATCGGAGCGGAAATCAAGAAGCACCCTTGCGCACTGAACGGAGCTTTCTGCAGCGGCTTCCAATAGGGCAGTGCACCCATGCTCGTTCACCCGACTCACATCTGCCCGGGCAACGAGCAAGGCCTTCAAACTCTCCAAGGCCGCACATTCTGCAGCCAAGTGGAGCGGAGTGCTTTCAGGCATTACAGAAGGGTGCAGCTCTGCCTTGTTCTCCAGCAAGACCTGCACTGCCGTCACGGCATCCTTTTCTATAGCCAAGCAAAGCGGAACACTTCCGAAGCTGTCTGCCTGGTTCAGATTACCTCGATGCTCCAGCAGTGGCCTCAACAAAGCGGTGCCAAGCGCAATGGAAGGGGATCTTAATGCGAAATGCAAAGGCGTCCTCTGGCTTGCTGTGGTCACGTTCACATCAGCTTTGTGGGCAAGTAGCACCTCGACGCTGCTAAGTGCATTCAGGTGCGATGCTTCGCAGGCAACATGGAGGGCGGTAAGCCCATCTGCACTTGCCTTGTTGGAATCAGCTTGATGCTCCAGGAGCAATAGGAGAGCTTCATTGCAGGTTCCCCTTGCAGCAGCATGCAAGGGCGTCAATTTCTTGGGGCCGATTGCCAGATTTACCTCTGCCCTGTGCTTCAGAAGAAGCTGCAGGGTCCGGGCTGCATTCGCCTGAGCGGCCCCGTACAGGGCGGTGAGCCCCTTACCGGAATTTGCATCAACGTCGGCGCGGTGTTCCAGAAGCAGCTTGGCATTCCCCGATGCGTTAAGCAGAGCAGCGCCAATCAAGGGCAGCTTCTTCCCGTCCCCGTTCGGTGAGGCACCCAAGCTCAATAAGAGTCCCAGATGCTTGGTCAGGCGCTGAAGGCCTGCGGCAACGTAAAGATCCTCTCCAACCTCCCGAGCAACCACTTTCTGATTTTGGAGCTCACGACGCAACCTCGGCTTTCCGGGGAAGCCTGAGCCTGACTCTATGTCCCGATACGATGCGGTCCTACGGCACACTAAACCAGAATAACAAAGTGCTACAAGAAGAGCCCGGCGACTCCTGCCAGGAGCCTTGAAACAAAGCCTTCTGCCAGGGCTCCGGTGCTTCCTGCAGCAGAACCGGCTCCCGGCCGGCCACCTCAATCCTCTGCAAGGAGTGCAGAGGCATCCTCTTTGCGGAGTCCTGAAAAACCTGAAGGCAGCTTCAGGGGCCCTTGCAATCAGGATCGTGTGATTCAGGGCTACATTGGGGTACCCCATTGTCTGAAACTCCCACCTGTAGGACTGCTTCCCAGATCTCCTCGTCAACTAGGCGGAAGCCAATAACAGTCCCGTCTATGCAGAGACTCTGAAGGTGGCGGCTGTGCGTCAACTCGTCCACCCAGCCTGCCAGGATATTTGTCTCCGTAGGGCTCCGCACCAGCACTTTGAGGAAGCTGGCCTGGGCCACACAGCGCTCTGCAGGATCATGATGCAAGCGGCACCAACAACAACAGCAGCAGTGTAAGAGAAATAACAGCCCTGATAACAATAATGCAATAAATCAGTCACCGTATTCCCAACTGCGGAAAATTGTGCTAGGTTCCTCGAGACGAACTCAGCTAAAGGGGAACTGCAGAATCGAGTGATTGCTCGATTTCGCGTCCGTCTACCAAAGACGGGATCACCGGGAGCCAACGACACCGTACCCACACCCCGTATCACCCCGTGGTCCCCGTGACCCCTTGGCCTTCGCAAAGCGCAGCTCTTCCAAGACGGGGCTGTCGCGGACCGCCCTGGCCAAGACCCAGAGCTCGGAGCGAGCCACGAGGCCCAGGTCCTTTCTTCTCTCAAGGCGTAGGGTGCGAGGCAATGTGTTGGGGTCTGGGTCCAGGTTTTTAAACAACAGGGAGGCTTCGGGCATTGAAAAAGGACTTCAGTGGTTTTGCACACTCTTCATCACAAGTCTTTCAGCAAGATGAGCTCCCAGCCCTCAACCCGCAATCCCAAGCCTGATAGGCACTGCTCTCTACCAGCTCTGCTGGGCCAAACCCAAAGTCGACGTTTGGGGTTCGGGGCTGGGCCTTTGTGACTTAAGGACTTAAGGGTTTCGATTTAAAACAGCGCAAAGAGACGAAACAGAACCCCCAAAAGTGGACTTCCAACTCGTTCTTGCATCGAACTCGCAGTTCACACGGCGGCTCCGCGCAACCTGGTCGAAGAGGCTCGAGGGTGCCAGACCATCGCCCAGGGCACACATCGTCTTCAGGAACAACCACCTGTCGAGTGGTGAGGGGCTTTGCATTCCAGGATCTGCAGCTTTGGGTTTTTTGGGATTCTCGGTTGCACTGTTCAGGAGTTTAGGGCGTACGACACCTGTCCCCGTGAGTTTGTAGCTTCGAGAACTTGTCCAAGAACAGAAACTGCTCTCCCAAGTTCTTGATCGAGAACATGATGGAGAGGCACAGCGCGGCGGGCTTAACCTGCTTCGCCTCTACTTGTGCAAAGAAGCCGCCGGGGTTGTAAAGTCGGAATGCAACGTAGCTCTGCAAGAGCGTCTGCAACATGGCCTCAACAGCCTCAAGCAGCCCTCTAAGCTTCAAGAAGTGAAAGACCTCTACATCCAGCGGATCTTGCCACAAGTACCGCAGCGTGACAAAGATGTCTGTAGCAATCAGCAGCGGCACGCCGAGCAGGAACCAGAGCATCATGGCTGCCATCGGCCTCTCCACCAGGCAACAGCTTTGCAACCTTTCCAGAGCTTTCTCACGCAACGCAATGACCAGGACGAGATAAGTGAAAGCAATGATGCTGAAGCAGATGCCACTCCACCAGAAGTTGCCGGAAGCTCGCAACTCAAGGCCAACGTTGATGTCCAACGCCAGATCTGCCACAAAGCTCACACGTGCCACCAAGACCAACAGGGCGCGGACCACGGGACTTGAGAGAATCCAGGCCTTGCATCTCACGGCCCAGCCAGCCACGTCCTCCACAAAGTCACCACCTGAATCTCCCAAACTAACTCTGATGCTTGCACCCAGCCCAGCTTTCCCCTCCCCCACGAAAAGACGGAAATGCTGGAATCAGTCCCAAACCACAGCGCTCTCGCAGCGAACTTCGGTACTGCTCAAGCCCCTCTGCCGGTAGAAAGGGCTCAGCCTCGACATCGGTCTCCATGGCTCTGGCAGACATGTGCTCCCCGTGAAATGAACTGAAATCCTTCCAACCCAAATCAAAATGCACTGGCAGCACTGAATGGAGGCCCAAGTTCCAATCACTTCAGAAGCTCACAGTTCTGAAAGGTGCTCGACTCTCGGAGACTCGGCCACTGCTCGGGTATCGCACCCGCAAGCAAGAGACTTGCAGTCGCATGCAAGCTGCAACAGGAAATGTTCTGGAAGTGCATTATACCTGCCTGTTTCAGCCAATTCCCCCTCCCTTCGATGCACCTATCCTCCCACAAAACCCTTCGAACCCCACAACCACCTAATCCGCCAGATCGTGCGCCTTCTTTGAGAACCACGCTGGCAGCAGCGGCCGAAAGCGGGCGTGAACGAAGGGGAGGAGGGTTGCCTTTTGCAGTTTCCCAAAACATCCCTACATTGCGAAGCGGGTCCTGAGTCCCGATAGTAAGGATCCTGCACGGTGGAACACCATGGATTTCCCTATGCTGACCAAGTGCCGGGGATGGTTTGGAGCTTCAGGCGAGACCAAGATGCCTCTACTTTAGGCTGCGGGTCTCTGAGTCTTGAGTAGCTTTGGGTTTCGGAGAGCTCTGGGAGCTTCCCAAAACCCTGTGGTTTTTAGCTACTGTAAAGTAAGTTAAGAGTTTGAAGATGATCCCAGAATGGCACGAGGGAGCAGCTGAATCATCAAACAGAGTTCCCACGACCACGCCTCTGCATCCTCGTCGGATACGACAGCCTCACCGTGAAGGTAGAAGTCTTGAGCATAGCAAAGAACGCAATACCCCAAGCCGTAAAGACGAACTGCCAGGTTCCAATGTGCAGAGTTACAAACTAAATCCGTAGCCCCGAAATCATGAAAAGGTGCAGTTAGATCAATTCTTGAGCAATTCGAAGCCAGATGTTCGAGTATCATGTTATAGGTTACGCCTTGTTGGTCTCAGCATCAACATGCTTTGGAGGTTTCGGCCCGCTTAGGGCCTCAAATCCTACATTCGCAAACCAATTCATCCGAGCCCTGGCCTCAAGCAAAGCCGCTGCCATGCCGCCATGGAGAGGTGCGGCCGGCGCAGGCGTGGATCGAGCTACGGGGCTGAAGCGTTTGGGATTGGGGGCCTTCCACTTGCAGCCTTCTCTGGAATCCTTGGGTTCATTACTCACAGCTTGGGGGTTGTAGGGTTCGGGAAGGTCGTCAGGTGAGGTCCGCACTTGGGAATATGACCGTGCGAAGCTTGCACGGGGCCTTCTGCATGCTCTGGGGCCGACGCTGCTGGAAGCCAGGCTCTGATTGACAGTCTCGGCTTGGTTAGTTCACAGATGGCGATCGGCTTCGAAACAAATACAAATGCTGTCGGCACAAGGACACTTAAAAACTAGAACCCGAACCCGGGACACAGACTCTTGCACCAAACACGTTGGCAGGCCTGGAAATCATTCTGCAGGCCATGTCCCACCACGATCTTGCCATCTAACCTCATCTGGTTGTTCTTACAGATGCTCTGATTCCTACCCTTTCCATGGCTACATCGATGAAAACCTCATAATGCCTTCGGCTTTGCGGCTTCAGGGAGCAGCACATGGCGTGGCATCCGGCGACTCCCAAAACTCCTCGCTGGGTGCCCTGCACTTTGGCAGCTTCCGCTCGGGCCTCCTCCTCGGAAATCACCTCACGGACGCTTCGGACGGCAGGGGCCCGTGAAACCCCTGGACAATTGCGGGGAGTGACAAACTCAATCGAGGCTGGAATCGGCTGGAGTCCTGCAGCCCTTGGATTTTTTCCCTAAGCATGCTTGGCTCAAGGCCCCCGGTCGCTTGAAGGTGCCAGGGGTGATGCCCGTGATGTGGGTGCGAAAGTCCGTCACCTCAGAAGTTGGGCTGAAGGCGAGAAACTGAAGCTTGGGCTTCCCGGGCGCCCGGGATTTCTTCTGATTTTTCAATTCGTTTTATGTGGGTTTGGGGATTTAGGGCGATATGGCTTTTTAGGGCAGGTGTGGTAGCCCGAGGGCGCGGAGATCTGGGTACCTCAAAACTGATGATGAATCCAGCGCTTGCAGCAAAAAGGGCTTGCGTTGTACTGCAGAAATCAGAACACCGCGAGCAGCTGCAGCGCGAGGCATCGCTGCCCTAACCTGCTTCAACTCCCGAAAGAGCTGGGCAGCTGGCAAATTCTTGCGGCCGGACAAACCTCGTCTTGGGTGCATGAGCGTTTGTGTGTTGGACAGACGAAACCCCCGAAATTAAACAAGCCAAAACCTTTCCCGGGAGCCCGGCTTGTCCATGAGCACCTTGCCCTCTGAGTCGACCTCAAAGGGGCCGATCAAGAGCCCGGCTACATGTGAACAACCCCAAAGCAACAGCCCAAAGAAATGCAATTAACACAGAGCCATCAACGGATAGTAGCAGCAGTGGGCTCACTGAGAACAAGAACATCGGGACGGGCAAAGATGCTGTTGCTTTCCCTTCTAGGTGTGGTTCCTTCTCGGAGGCCGGCATGAAAGAACCAAGGGGGTCCGCATGTAATGGAGGTACGGGGCGTGTGTTCAACGAAGAGCCTTTGGTTTCGGGACAAGGCCACGACGGAGAGTGAAGACACTTCCCCCAAACGCATTCGCCGAAGCTGCGATGGAAACGCGAGCCAGGACGGACTCCTTGCCAGCCGGGCCTCGCAGCCAGGGCAGCGAGGGCTAGCAAACGCTGCAGCCATGCATGTAAGTCAGTCGTGTAGTAGCCTGTAGCTTGACAAACGATAGTGTGCTCTTCGAGCAAAGCCTCCATGTACTCCATCAACATTTGCGTCTGGAGGATATGTACTTGTCTGCACTGTCATCGCCTTAAGTCTCACCAAAATCTGCTGCATGCCTACGCCTTAGAACCCTACATCCGAAACCCTTTGTCCTCCTCAGACCTACAGAACCAGTGGCCAATCCTGACGCACAAACCCTGCAGCCATACGACCGAACGTGAACGGCAAAAATTATCAAACAAAAAAGTAGCATCCCGCAGAATCCCTTAATCCTCAGCCCCCAGCGGAAGTAGCCCGGGGCGCTATCTGGGAGCTCTGGGAGTCCGGCCCACGCCAACCATCTCGCAGTCGAGAGCCACCACCTGGTACCCGCAGTGCTCTTTCGGGACTTATAAAAGTCTGAAGGTGGGGGTTACCCTCTACAGGATCTCCGTTAAGGTCGTATGCTTCCCTTTACGGCACACCTCGCCTTGCTACGTATGACAGGGACTTGAGGGCTTGGGATTCGGGGCTGAGGGTTTAGCTGAAGAGAGAGCTTGAGGTGTGCGCCTTCATGTTCGGCTTCTCCAGTACATCACGGGTTGAGGCTTGTGGAGTTCAAGACGGCAAAAGGATTCGGGCTGAAGGTCTTTCAGAGTCTGACCCTGAGAGTCCTGAACTGAACACACCAGGGTTGAAATGAGCACCCCCGAAGCATGCTCACGTCGCTTTCACAGCCACGGAACGGGTTGACGTAATTAGCAGGCATACATGTATCTATCGACTTCCTCGCGACCCAACGACTGAAAGCCTCGTGTCGTCGTCCGAGGCCGCTGCGTTTGCTGCGCAACCGGGCGGCCTAGATTAGCTGCAGAGCAACAGGATTGAGGGCGCGAAGCTTGCAGTAGCTAGTGTCACGGAGTGCCGATGCGACGATGTTATTGGCAGTACTCAACTGCTGCTCATCTGCAGTCCGCAAATCTCAACGGCCAGACCAAGGAACAGAATACGGGGCACTCAGCGAGGTGCCGAAGTCCACAAGACGAAACCTCACACCAAGCTTCAAAAACAACAGTGCCCGCCTAGGAGCTGCCGCTTCGCTTGCCTGGGACAAGGCTTCACTTCTGCCCTGAACTTCAAAGGCTCAAGGTCACGACGGGTCCAACGTTGCCTAAGCACCCCTGGTAGGCCATCTGCCCATTCTTGTTCTTCTACGTTTGGGCTTTGGGGACGCTCCTGCCAACCTTGTTGAAGCCACACTTCTGACACATGCCTATCAAACCGTGAACAAGCACAAGCCTTGGGAGCCAGTTCGGGCCGCTTCTGCACGAGCTGCTTCCAATTGTGGCTGACGAAAAACCTAAGCAAAGGGTTGAAGGGAAGAGGGATGAGGATGAGGCTCACTGTTCACGACTTGGGAAAAAAGGGCACTTATGATTCTCCCAACCGCTTGGGCTTCGAACCCTCGCCTCGGCCTCGAGCTCCCAGCTTGTTGGAACGTTCACCAGGCTAGACCACGACAAACGTGATCATGACGATAATTGTGGTGGTGATGGTGATGATCCTGAGGATGACAGTAAGAGTTTGAGTCACGGTGCTAGTTTAGTTCTAGTGCCAGTACGAGTGATAGTGATAACCGTAGCCATACTCATACTGATGATGGTGATAGTGACGGTAATGATAACGATCACGACGAAGCTAGTAGTAACGACAATGGAAATGATAGGGGCTTATGATAATGAGAATGAGAATGACTATGGCAATGAGAATGCTAACGCTAGCTCTAATGCTACTCATAGTGACAACGCTAATGCTACTTCGAACTATCATGACAAAGATAAGGAGATGCTATTGCGCATGCTGATGCTGCTGCTGACGATGATGACCCCCACTGGCCAACACATGACATGCCGTGGCTCAAACATTTAGAAGGCGCAGATATCTCACCCTCAGACAACATAGCACTTCTCAACCCGCACGCACACCTCGAAGCCTTCATGACTTCTCCAACCTGTGCAATAATGTTACTTGCCACCAGCCAACTGCAAGTACTTAATTCGTCCCAAATGCCGGCATCTTCAACATCCCAGCTTACAGTGAGCGTAGTGTCGGCATTGAGCCTCGCTCTCCCGGGATAATGCGTGCCAACCCCTCCAAGTTGCTAGACGCGTTTGCTGAATGACCTCCCAGCCTGGGACCTCGTTTTCAAGCATCACACAGCCCTAACTCTAACATGCACCCTCGAACCATATGGTCCTTGCGAAACGACTCCTGCGACCCATCATGTTCGGAAGGAAACACATCGACACCAAACCTTGAACTGACCAAACACCTGAAACCCGAACTCTCAATTTTTGGAAGCCTCTCCCTTCTTGCAGGGGCGCTTATGCGCGGGCTCCAACGGCTTGGCCTTGGCCTGCATCGCAAAGCTGCGATTGATGATTTGGGTTGAACTTCTCACTTCTTGTTGCGGCTTCCATATAGCTTCCACCACTGCTACCCACAAAGATTACTCTTGAGGTTGGAGCTTGGGTACCGTGAAAACATTCCTCCGCGTTTACCGGACGGCCCATCGATCCCAAACCATCCGGCTTATCCTTCCTCTTCCGGGCACCTGAACCTGAACGGCTTTGGAGCTGCCACTGCTCTGCTGCCTTGAGGCCAGAAACTTAGGGGTGTAAGGGCTCAGGGCTTTTAATTTGGGGTCTAAAGGTTTAGGGTCGCAGGAGGGGGGGTTCAGAGGTTGGCTGGGAAAGGCAGAAATTCGGGCATCTAGCCGAGGGTCTAGAAATTAAGGTTCAATAAGAGGTTTGTGGGCGTGAGGTGAGGTGTTCGGGTTGGGGATTTGCGGGTTATGGGTTGTAGGGTCCAATTTGGGGCTCCGAATCAGATGCCCTAGGTCAAACCACTTCAGGAAGACTCCTAGGACAACATCCGCACTCTCGTACTCCTTTGGGTCTTTTGGTCTGTGGATCTTGGAGTCGTCAGCTTGGAAGGGCCCTGGCTCAAGCTCACTCGGTTAGCCTCAGGCTGCAGGATTCCAGGTTTTGCGCTGTGCGGCTTTGTCGTGATGGTGCCTAGGGCCTAGGGAGTGTAGGAGAGTCCAGGGCGTGGGTTCTGGACTTGAGCCCAGGGATGGAAGTGGGGTAAATAGACTCGCTGCATCACTGGCTCAGCTTCCAGCTTCCGCCGAGCTTTCGCATCCTTCACACGCGTGCTTTTGGGAAACAAGAGCCTCGAAAGAGCAGCCTAGCTCGGGGCATCTGCTTGCAGACACAGGTCTTACATGAGACGACGTTCAACCGAGGAAGAGGTGACTGGT